CAGGATGTAGATAGAAAACTGAAAAGTTACCCCACACAAATGACACCTAACACCTCCACGAAAAGGGGCATAGCTGTGTCCCTCTTCACCCTGTGTAGGTCAGAGCCCATCCAGTGTTGAGTCGAACACACTTGCTTTCAGAGAAGGATAAAAGTGAGCCGAGATGTTTTTATAAGATGATTTGTGGGAAGCTGAAAGCCCAGAACTGTGGATTTGAGGGGAAAATGATAATGATAAAACTGGCAGCCCTGAGCATGGAAAACATACTTAGATGAACATAAATTACAGCACTCATAGTTACTGACACTGTGCTGAGAGCTGTAGACAGTGCTCGGATTGAGTAAGTGATTGCGATTGAATCTATTTAGCACAAGGGGAAGCTGAGTCTTTGGTGGCCAGAAGCTTAATGTCGTGTGGCTGGAGACATGCAAGAATAAAGCCTGAATCCAGATCGTTTTGGCTCTGAAGTCTGTGTCCAGTGCAGGCACATTTTTTAAGGGAAGGTATTCTCTCTCATAGGTTTGCAGAGTCCTCTCCAAGAGTCCCAACCACCCTCTGAAATCCTCTTGGAACGGAACTGTAAACTGAGCAAAGTATGCATGGTAAGACCCATTGATACTTACATAGGAAGGAATTCTTCCTAGAGATTCCTGGAGGTTGAAGGTCTTATTCAGAAAAGTGGTGATCTCTTTGTCTGGGGACAGTTAAAAAGTTCATGGGAAGGGTGGGAGGGTTCGGTACTGTGCTATTGTTCTTTAACACGCAAATGTCATACATGGTCCAGTTAAGACAAGGCGATCACATAGTGAACGCCTACAGTTGTAACTGCTGATGTGTCCTAAAACTTGGACCTGATGTCGCTGTTTCCAAACTCATCGCTTACATACAGCAATGAGTCTGCCTATAACACAGTGGGCTGCTGTGCTTACAGGACCAAGACGCTCTTACATTCATAGATCAGAGCTGAGATCAGTTATCTAAAAGTCTGATGAAACTTTGGAAGCAGACACAAGAGCTGGCTCATTTCAACTCCCTTTGCTGACCAAGAGATGGTGTTTTCTCTTCTCTGAGATACTTTCCCCACAGCCAGCCTTCATCAGGGAACACAGGGGAAATGAAAAGCCTATGATATGGAGGGAACATTCAGCTGTGGCTGGGATGTAGGTAATGGGGACAGTTAACTGAATATATCTTGCCTGTTGGGAGATGTTTCAGGTAAGATCTAACATGGTCAAAGTGGATCTTAAAGAGAGGCAGAGTGGTAGAAAAGGACGGGATTTTTGATCTGCAAACACACAGATTTGAGAGGGAGGAGGAAAATATCTAAGCTAACACTATGGCATGTGTTGTGTTCGGGCCCAGAGTTCCTGACTGAGAGCTGACTTGTGGACTCTAGCCATCCTTCTATTCACCAGCACACTAAATGGAATGACTAGGCATGTCCACATTTGCGTTTCAACACAGGACTTCAGTAGAAGACTCTAGGCACCACGCCTCCATTCACACGTCTATCTCTCATGAGTAACTCTCACATGGGACATGTAGGACCATGCATCACAGAGTTGTCTCTGGGCCAACACAAAGAGAAAAAATGGGGAAATGGGTCAAAACAAGAAATGGAGTTGTTAGTAGGATCCCTTAGAGTTGTGTCAACTCTTTTTCTAATGTCTTTGTCTTTTTCTCCTTTCATATATATATATATATATATATATATATATATAATTTAAATTTGAAACAAAGTTGTTTTACATGTCAATCCAAGTTCCCTCACTCTCCCATCCTCCCCTATCACCCCCATCAAATTGCTTTCTTAAGAAAGAACAAACCTTTGTCTCTCAGATGATCCTGCAGACTCTTGGAGCATCTTCCACCCCTCCAGCTTACATAGCCCAACACTGAGTCCTGTAGTGGGAAAAGCTCCAAGGATACCGGTGCCAATAGGAAAATACCTATTGGCACTGGAGTTGACTCTGGTGCCATCCACACAGGAATCCTTCTGCCTTCCAGGAAATAATCATTACCTAATGACTACCAGATGTCTCCTTACCCTTTATAATTGACAAGTCTATAATAGTTATGAGTTAGTTACTCTCAGAGGATGCTACCTGTGAGGAATTCAGCCATGTGCCACAACATTGAGGACCTCCAGGGATTTTTTTGGTGCACGTTTTATGGAAGCCTGTTCAGCCAGTAAGCACGCTTCGCCTCAGCACTGGTGACACTTATGGAGTTTGCTGTGGACCCTGTCTGACATTTGACCTATCTCACTGACAAACACGTTATATCGTTCCCGAATCTAGAACAAGTGGACCTATTCAGACATATGGAGAATCTCTCCAGTGTCTCCCAATGAGAAAATAACTCAGAACTCAACTGATGTTTCCAACCACCCACCCTGTGCTCTGGTCTTATGAGGACAGTTACAGGTCACTCTCTTGTGTCCTAGGATCACCCCTCTTCAGTAGCCTCTCTGCTCTTAGATCCTACAATAAACATTATAAATACCCCCACCTCAACTAGTTTTGCTCAGCGTACCCTCAGGAAAAATGGAAGAGACGCCCGGACTCATCCAAAAGAATCCACTTTGAGTCTAGAGAAAGAGGAGGCAGAGGCAGAGGCAGAGGCAGAGGCAGAGGCAGAGGCAGAGGCAGAGGCAGAGGCAGAGGCAGAGGAGCTCAACTTCTGAGTGCTGTGAGTGCTGTGGATTGTGTTTTTCAGGACAGATGAGGAAATTGCAGTTAAGACTTGGGTAGATGTTTGGAGGCTTCTCTTGGTCAAGCAAAGTGTTGGATGGGCTTGAGATGGAGTTTGTAACGTTACCTCTGTTATGCCCCCTGGACTGAGAGGTAAATTACTTCTGGCCTCCTATCTTCCAGAGGAAAGACCTGTTGGCAAGCTCCAGGGTGTGGTCCAGTAGCTCCTCCCACTGCCTCCCACCTTCCACACTCCAAAGACACAGTCACCAAGCCATCAGATTCCATTATCTCCACATGGAGTTACCCTCTTCACACACACTCCCACTTTTCACTAAACCTTCACAGATCTGTTTATTCACGCCCTGTTCTCTGTCACCCCTCCTTATTCCAACCTCTCTGGTCCACATAACACCCACACCACCCGAAGCGTTTGCCTGCTGCTCTCATGTACTTATCTCCCCCTCCCCCCTTACATGAGAATGGAAACACCGCATGTGTTATTGTCTCCATAAGTCCAGGGAGTGGAAGGCATCCTTTTGTGAATTCATGTGTAGGGCTTAAAACCCATCCCCATTGTTATCATATATTTTAGCCATCATCAAAACAACTACAGCAAAAAAAAAAAAAAAAAAAAATACACAAGTGACAAAGATAATTACCAATAGAAAACCCAAACCACAAAGCTGCAGTGCAATTTGAGGCATCTAGAAAGTTATCTTTTATAGCGGTAACTAGAACATTATGATTTGCTAGGCTGAGCCTGACATGGAACTCACTCTTTCTGGGCTGTGACTTTTTAGACACACAATGTCTTGTACGGAAGTGTTACCTCTAGAATCATGCCACCCAGACACTCTGAAGGAGGCTTTAGTTGGAAAAAGGTCTCCGAAACTGCGATTGGTTAAGGGCTCAAAATGGAAACGTTGAGGATTTAAGATGAGTCTCAAATCCAGTGACTCGTGTCCTGAAAGGAAGGAGAGGGACATGCACACACACAAACACGGAAGAGTGGCATGTGAAGGCCAAGGCAAAGGGAGATGAGAGTAATGGGAAGGGAGAGGAGGAGGAAAGGATCCTTCCCTGAAACTGCTGGAGAGCACCGGCCGGCAGGCAGTGGGATGATCCTGGGCTTGGGGCCCCCAGAACGGCAAGACTGATGTCTACTGCCCCAAACCACTCAGTGACACTTGGTTGTACACGTTGCAACCCCTAAAAGAGTGGCCTTCTGTGGAACTTAGGCAACCCCAGTGTGTTTCTCTATAGATGTCCTTCCCCAGATCTCGTGAGCAGCTGCTTCAGGGTCGCAATGACACGGTGGGTAAGCACACCATCGTGGTTACTGGGAGAATGAAACTTCTGGGATAATTATCTTTGGAAAAACATATTGCGGTTTCAGTGGTTACTATTTGGTCTGCAGACCAGTTTCTACAGCTATGAATTGTGGAAACCATTTACTTATAGTGTCGTCCTAGTTATAAATGCACTGCCCAACCTAAGACCCGGACACAGCGAGCTGTCTCTCAGGGACTTCCATACCATCCTCTCCTTTCTTTGCTTTTTAGACTTTGCTTCTAACCCAACACTAACAACTAACTTCCATGTAACCCATATTGTTTCGTGCTGTGTATTTCTAGTCTCTTCCAAGTATATTGTTCTATTATAATGATTAAGCCACACAGTTTACTCGTCTAATTGTCTCTGTCTGAGGAGCTGCAGCCACCATCCTCAGGCCAGGGTGGTCTGGTCTCAATCAGACAGGGAAATTTACACATTGGAAAGGTTACACTTCACCTTAGTTTCTACTGGGCCCCCACCCAGAATCTGACCCTGTGTACCATGGTCCTGGAGAGACCACTGTTCCTAGATTTCACAGGTCAGCTTTTCTACCCTCATTGTGTTCTCGAAGACTCCAGGCTAGACATGGAGAGTTCCACAGATCTCGAGTTAAAACTTTCAAACAGGACCAGCCAGAGATATTAAGGACATATAAAGATAAAATTCAAAGATAAACAAAAGGCAGTGGGCTCTGTAATCTATAGGTCTGGTCTGCCCAGCCTCTGCCCTGCGCTGGGTGAGATTATTGCTAGGGTCCTTTTCTTTCTATGGACTTACCCTGATGGTGTCCCAGAGTGCAGTCATTGCCACTCAGACAAAACGGCTCGCTGGAGGTTTTGAGTAGCACACAGGGGCAGGGGGAAGGAGCATTTTTGGCAAGGGAACAGATTTGCTACTCTTTGACCTTCCAGACCAGTAGGAGTTGCAGGAACAGCAGGGCCCCGAAGATACTGACGAGATACAGCTAGGCCCAGCTGAACATTTTTATTGATTTAGTCTGTTTCAGAGTCAAGAGGTCAGTCTGCAGGAAGCTGTGAGGAAGGATGGATATCCATGGAGGAAGAATAAATGCTTTGGACAGAAAGTAGCTTCTTAGGGACAGGGATTAAGAAGAAGGTGCCGCAGAATCCAGGTTCAGGATGGAGAACAACCCAGGATGCACAAAAGTTGGTCTCAGGGATTTTTTTTCTTGGCCTGAGGAGGAAAAGACATCATTAGAGCTCCAGAAGCCACAGAGTAAGGGGAGGAAGACAGATTAGGTAGATCCTTGAGTGTTCCTTGATTCTTTTTATCTTGTAGGAGGGTATACATAGCCAACTTGCATTTTCTCTTTGGTCAGTGTCCGTTATGGCCTTTTCGAGATGGCAGGATGTACTGGAGGCTGGGTCCTTCTCTGAGATCCCCTTACCTTCCATGTACATTGGTCTACACCCTCCCTTCAGCTGCTTGCCCACATCCTATCATTCTTACCATGGCCATCAGCACCAGGGCACTGACCAGCACAGCATACAGGGTGGCTTTCCCCAGGAGGACCTCATAGAGGATGGTGGCAGACAGGACCCCTTGATGATAGGATGCTGTTGAGAGTAAAGGAGAATGAGCCATGCCTGTGAGCGGGCGGTGCTGGGCATCCTGGTCCTTGGTGTCCGCAGGCTCTTCCCTTTGCTGAGCCCAGACCATGGAAGAGTTAGGGAGATGCGGAGGTTTACTCACCTGACGTGATGCCACAGTCTGAAAGAAAAGAGAGGGAGGGAATAAAAATGTGTGACACAACGCCACTGCCTGGGAATATCGAGCCCTCAACAACAAAAATTCAAAGCTGGACTTGAAAGCCACAAACATGCGAAGGTCAGATGAGGTAAATACCCACACATACTGCATCTCTTATGCTGAAGGACAAGTACAAGATTCTGCCACTGTGACAGCTGAGACACGGCACACAAGTGCTGGGCTGCTTGGTAGGTATGAGGGAAGCCACCAACCCAGCGCAGAGACACAACGGGGGACCCGACAGGCCTGAGCTGCCCTGTGTAGTTTAAGTTCTCCGTGGGAGGACATAAACGCTACTGTTTTCTAACACCCGTGTCCTGGATCATCCCTCCCAGCACTCTGGTTTTCTCCTGGGTCTATGCTTTGCTTGTGCATAGCTTTTTCCATTTTTTTCTGGGGTACCAGGGCTGCTCAGTCTCCTCACCAACACCCAGCCCCACGTACCTGCGCTGCCCCTGGCCTCTGCACTGATGTTCTGGGTGACGGGTTTGGTCGAGGGCCCCTTCCACTCGTCCTCATCTGCCAGCCCGAAGAACTGGACTTGGCAGCGGAAGTGGTTGCGAGGATTGTGCCAGAAGGTCGCGGAGACCCTCAGGCGGCTGCTCAGGCAGTAGGTGATGTTATTGAGCTCCTTGTAGGGCTGAGGGTCCGTGCTGACTCCGCTGAGGACCTCCTTCCCATTCACCCACCAACTCAGTTCCACGTGGTCGGGGAAGAAGCCCCTGGCCAGGCACACGAGGGTAGCCATTTGTTTGTCGACGATCTCTGCTTCTGATGGCTCAAACAAGGTGACCTTAGGTGGGCTCACCTTGCTCAGATCCTCTGGGAATGAAGAGAGGGGTGGAGTTAGGTAGCGTCTTGCTGGCCATTGTCCCCATCTGGTAGAGGCTGTATGTGTGTGAGAAGACTGAGCGCTGAGAGGATTTCTGGAAAAGCAAGCATGGCATGGCAGGGTCCATTTGCGTTGGCATCCTTGTAACATTTCTCTCTCTCCTTGCCTGTTATTTGTATTCATCCAGTGGATATCAGTGTTCCCCCTCCTCCCGCCTCATAAGGGGACACTATAAACGGCCCCACCCAACACCCTACACAATGTCCCTTTATTAATATCGCTTTAGTCATTCCTCCACCAAGAAAAGGTTTCTACTGATCATTATATGTAGCAGTTGAAAAGGAGACAGCCACAGAAATCTGAAGCACAGAAGCTGAGTCTCAGCAATGGCCTTCCATGCCCATGTGCCCACGGGAGTCTCTTTAATGGCTCAGCATCTGCTTTTTGTTTGTTTGTTTCGTTTGGAATGTAAACACTGACTTCCGGAACTGATAGAAGGATTCAGAACATCCTTCCAGAGCTGGGTTATCTGTATCTGGAATGAAGGGGCCGAGGAATGGAGGATGATTAAGGATGATACAGACATTTGACATGAGGAAGCTTCCCTCAGGCCACTATCTATAGCGGGGCTATTTTCACACACGTACGTGAAGATATCTTGGTCTATGGTGTGTTCAGGAGGATGTAAGTAAGGTTTTCTGAACTTTGCCATGTGTGAAATAAACCCACATCAACTTCTCTGCCTCCAAATGTCTCTGGTCCTTTGTATTTTTCTGACTGTCCTTTGTTTCCAACCAGTTAGTGAAGACGGAGAGATACATATATTTTGTTTCAACAAACGGCAGTCTTCTGGATAATGGAAACTTTATTCTAGCCCTTTCTTATATTTCTCTGGATATCACCTCATTCCAGGGCTCAGGTCATTGGCCTCCAACCAACATAATTTGTATCCAAGATCAAAGGCTTAGTGCTTGTTTTCAGACTCTGCAGCCACCACTTAGAAATTGTTTCCCTTTAGTAGTGGACAATTGTTTCCCTTTAGTAGTGGACAATTGTTTCCCTTTAGTAGCGGTCTGCACAGTTTTCTTTTTCCTTCTTTCCCTCTCTCCTTCCTTCCTTCCTTCCTTCCTTCCTTCCTTCCTTCCTTCCTTCCTTGTCTGTTTGTTTGAGAGTCTTCCTCTGTGGCCCATAATGGCCTGGAACTCACTATGGAGTCCAAGCTGACTTGGGACTCACTATAGCCCAGGTTGGCCTCACATTCGTGGTATCCCATTTGCCTCAGTCTCCCCAGTGTTGGGACTGTAGATGTGGGTCACCACATCTGGTCGTATTTTCCTTTTGGGCTAAGCATGAAAGCATCCTAGCTGACTCTTGACGCTGCCTCTACTCAGCCTCATCCCCAATTGCCTCGATTTTCTTAGCAATGTAGCTAGGACTTTGCGGGCTGGGTCTCCGTGGAAATGGCAATTTTCTTACTTCTCTCTGTCATACTTGACTTGACTCTATCAGTTCCCCTCACCCTGTCTCAGAAATATTGGCTTTGAAAGTCCCCCAGCCTCCTACAGGAACTACGCAATGCCCTTCTCTGACCATCTCACTCAGTAATCATCTGGACCCTGTTGTGAAAACCAAGGGCTTACCCGAGTCAGGCACTGTGTTCTCTGTAGCATTAATTAACACCATAGTCAGGACAATCAGAAGCAGATACTCATCATAACCTGATTATTACTCATATCACTCCACAGCTAGGCTAGGGTTAGCTGTACATCTGTGCATGTGAGTCCCTGAGGATTCTTGGGAGGAAGAATTTCCTATGAAAGTGAACGGTGTTTTGGGAAGCTGCTGCTAGTATGTGATTTGCTTGCGAACTGAACTAGTTGTGGGTAAAATTATAGACTTCCTCTCACCTTCCTTTCAAGCCACTATCCACAGAAGAGGTTCCCATATTAACTTACCTAATCTTACCTTGTCACCTAAGAACTGAATTCAGCCTTGTCTGGTGATAATATCTGGCTCTTTTTTTTCTATCTCACCTGACCCCAGGAGACCAGCATTCCCTTTAGGCACAGTACACTTGAACATTAGCATTCCAACCACAAATGGTGTCCACTGTTGCTGTGTCTATCAAATAATACAGGTTTCACATTCCCAGGCTGTGAGTTATTTCTCTTCTATAGCCTTGGTCTCCACTGCCAAGAGATCATTAAAGTCTGTTCTGATGCTGGGATCCTAAGGTTGTTCGAGTATTTCCCCTCATCTCCCAAGCTAAATATTTGAACTTTAGTGTGTGCTCTTGATCAACAAACTCCATCTGTGATCTGGTCTGCCTAGCCTGGAATGCATGGTGTGAGCAATGAAGATTTTTAGGTCAGGATTCAGGGGACTAGGATAATTAGACCCCAGAGAAGGTGTGGATGCTAACTAAGTGGGTTTCCATCCTGCATTAAGGGATCCCAGATATAGAGGAAAAACCGTCAACACCTCCAGGCTTTTGATTCTGCTGTTTATCTGCCTGTCCTTTGTTTCTTGCCTGGCATTCTCCTCCTTTCAAAAGACCCTGGTTTAAGCAACTTTTGCTGAGGAGGTCAGAGGCACAGCCTCTGGAATCCTCCCTGCCTCTAAGCGCCCTTCAGTTCTTTGCTCTCCTGTTACTTTTTTTCAAAAACAAGTTTGCTCCGGAGTCCTGATGAACCTTTTTCTCCACCGCCCACCCAGTTCGTGCAAACCTCCGAGAAACGAAAACTAAGCCGAATCTGTCCTGGCTTGCGAGGGAGCAACGCTTGGCACCCAATACCCTGCCTTGGCATAGCCCTCCCAGAAGCGTGAAGTATCCTACTGCCAACTCCCCAGGGAGCCCTAACCCCGCTGGCCCTCTACCCCTAATTCCTCCAGGGACCCAGAGACTAAGGCTGGGAGCACGCGAGATGTGGGAATCTTACCTAAGACCGTGAGTCTGGTGCCTGGACCGAAATACCGCTCATAGGAGCACAGAGATGCAACCCCACACGCAAACCCGTGCTTATGCAACGAGAGCTAGACCCCAACTTCATGACAATCTCCCTGTTACTCAGCCTCCCGCAGGGCCTGGGGGCCCGGTGCAAACACACCAGCAGCCCTGGGGCTAGCAGCTGCAGCTGCAGCCTCTCACTTAACACTCTCAACTGGCTGCCAATCAGAAGAGTTAAGGCAAGGGCTGCAAACGATCGATCGGTTGACTCCCCACAGAAACCCACCCAAGGCACCCGCTCCCACTGCAGACCCAGCCCGCCGCCACCTTCCTGCGTGGGGCCCCAGCTCACCTAACACGAGGAGCCGCGTGCCTGGCCCAAAGTACTGGGTATTTTGGTTCACGGCACCAGAGCCCAGCACAAAAACACCCCAACTTACCCAGCACTGACAGTCGGGTTCCCGCACCAAAGTAAAGGGTGTTTTGGCTCACAGCTCCTTGGCATAGCACAAAAACTGGCCCTGGCCATCCTTACCTGGGAATCCCAATAAGGAGATGTCCCCTTCCCCACCACCAGCTCCAAACTTACCGAGCACAGTCAGTCTGGTTCCTGGGCCAAAATACTGAGTTTCTGAGCTCACAGCCTCCAGGCTCAGGACAAAAACCCAGCGCTGCCCACTCCTGCCATCCCAGCCCTGGCTCAGCTCCTCACCAACCTTGATCCCAGCATCCAGTCCAGAATTCCTCCCGCCAGGGCAGGTCAGCTCAGGCCAAGAGGAAGCTGAACTGCCTTCCTACTCTGCCCATCTCACACCCACGGTACCCCTTCACCTGCCCAGCTTACCCAGCACCGTCAGCTTGGAGCCTTCACCAAAATACAGCTGCCCTGTGTTTGCACAGTTCTGGAGTTGCTGACACAAACCCCGTGTTCCCCGTTGCAGGCTTTTGGATAACTAATTGCCCGTTCTGCTAAGGCTTCCTGGCTCCAAGGGTCTTTCTGGCTGATTATGCCACCTTCCCTACTGCCTGTGTGGCCGCTGCCTTCTTACCTAGCACCGTGAGTCGTGTCCCTGGTCCGAAGAACTGTTCAGCATAGGAGCACAGCAGAAAAGGGTCGCCAAGAATTCACCCTCCTTCCTCATCTTCCTTAGCATAGACCCAGGCTTACACACCTTCTCCATCTAACTCCGGAATTGGTAAGGCAATCTGGACATTGCATGAGACCAACCTCAATCCGAAGGGGAGAGGCAACATTTGGCTTGGGAATTAATATCCATCCAACTCACTCGGGGGTTGATGCAGTGAACTTGAAATCTGACGGTTTCCTGATCAGGTTGGGTAGCTTCTGGTGAGAAAAGACTTGTAACACCTTTCCCACAATGTGTTTACATGTTTATTCAATGATTTTTTTAATGAGTTCTTAATTTACCACACATGTTCCTGCCTCTGTTGCATTCATGGGAAGCTGTCTAGGGCAAGGAGCTGCACAGATACTGTAAGACCTCGTGGGACCACTCACACAGACCTCCTCAAATGGCAGATGCATTCCTTGGGCTGAGAGTTGGATGTTTTCTGGGGTAGAGCTTTTTGTAAAGGCTCCTCTTCTATTTGAATCATCGTGCCCCCCCCCAGTCCCCACAATGTTACACCATGATACAAAAAAGTTTCGTCCGCACAGGTGCCCTCCCCCAGTCCCCAGGCAGAGGCAGGAAGCCCAGATGGCAGAGAGGTTAGCCTGACTCAAAGGGCCTGGGAAAAGACTAAAGCTGGGTACATTTGAAGGAAGGAGGAGCTTGGAGAGGATCTGGGTACTAATGGTGTTGTTGTTGACTGGGCGCAGGGAGCCCCTGTTCTGAAGTGCTCTCTGTCACCCTGGGGAGCACTATGTCACTGGGTGTCTCCTCTTTGACTCACTGTACCCACCTGCTCAGGAGGGCATTTATAGTGAGCTTGGGTGGGAGGATTGGCAGGGAGGAGCCCCTAAAAGGGGAGTCTACAGAGCAGTCGGTGCATCTTAGAACACAGAGACAAGTAGCTCAGAAACTGCCATCGTTGGCTCCTGTTGCTTCCTAGACAAAGTTCAGCACCCTCTTTCACTTCATCCCACAAATGTTTAGTGGGCACCGACTACGAGTTAGGTTATATTGCGTTTGCAAAGGAAACAAGTCTACTCTCAGAGTGGCATGTGCTGATGTGATTTCTCGGTCTTGATTTTGACTTTTTTCCTGTCTCCGACTCTTGCGCCCAAGTAAATGGGTAAACTGAAGCATCCAGCCATATTGCATGTGCCACTCTCTAGAGTTCACGGAGCACCGCTTTTAAAGAGTGCATGCTGTAGGGCCCTTGTCTGGTTATTTAGCTAGTGGACAGTTCACACAGCGTCTTCAAAGCACTGGCTTTTATTTCTGCCCCCTTTCATGGTGACCTAGTCCCTTTATGGGCAGGTGGGTTTCTTGGGGTCTGTGGTTTAGTTACCTCTGTTCCCTGGGGGGGTCAGCTAACATATTACAGTTATATGTGTTTACTGAGTGGGTAATGTGAACGCACATGTAAATACGTGTGTCTGTATGCAGCCATGTGTGCATGCTTGCATGGATGACACTCTGACATAATATGTAGTGGAACGGGCAAGGCTCTGTGCAAGTGGAGATGGCTGTTTTTCTTTGAGGACCTGTGGGGAGTGGTCTTTGCTGGACTGCAATCAGAGCCAGCCAAGCGGCCCCAAGTCCGTACCTGAGTGGGGGAGTGTGGAGGAGGGAAAGGCTAGCTATAGATAATAAAGAAAGAGAGAGAGACAGAATAAAGGTCAGGAGGGCAGATCAGTCAATACTGAATTGCAGAGTTTATTTTCTGCCACTCTTATTTACCTTATCCAAAAAGGGGAACACAAGCAAACAGACTTTTCTTCCTCCCCCATTCTAAGGGTTCAGTAACCACACCTTAGCTCCAGCTTCTTGTTCCCTAGCCTTGAGAGTCAGGAGTAGCCATACCTGATTCAGGTCTGTTGTTATTTACACTAAGATGGCCGAAACATCCTTCTGTAGCCACACCTTTGACCTTTAGGTCTTGTGACTTGCTGACAGCTCTGAACCCTCTGCCCTTGTGCCAAGATGGAGTGCAGCCATCTTTATGGACACCCACAGGACCCCATTGGGATGACTGCACCTAAAATTGGGTCACTTTCATTTCCCTCATCATCCACAGAACCACTAGATACATGGGAGGTGTCAGATAAGAAACAGTTCCCATGAAGTATGGTGTCAGGAAGGAGCTCTTCACAAGGGGCCAGACAGGACGTACTTAATCCAGGCAGATGGAATTAGAAGTTAAGACTGAGCAACAAAATGCTAGAGAAGGCTCCAGGAAGACACTGAGGCCAAATCCTTAAAGCGGAGTAGGGGTTAGTGGTGGGCGAAGGGCACCATGCCGCTCTAGATGGAGCAGGCAGGAGAGCATGTAGAATGGCATGGAAGGGGGGAGGAGAAAGGGGTCATCAGGTCTTCAGGATGCCGAGTACCCTGAGTACCACAAGGTACTGGAGTACCCTGTGACTACAAGAACACAGGGAGCTTGTGAAGGGTTTCTAGATATAGAAACAGGGCTGACTGTTGCTAGGAAGTCATATTTTCTGTACCGCCAGGAGCAACCTTGGGATGTTGTCTAAGTCCATCTATTTCACCAGGTAATAATTTCCCAACAGATTCGCATCTTAACTGAAAGACACGTCTCCCACTGAAATATAGTTCTGCAAGACTGCGCATGATCGCGTGATCATCTGGGAAAGCTGCTTGGTTCAGTGAGAAGCTGGGGGGAAGATTGGTGACCCTCGGGAAACCAAGGCTTGTTAGCCACCTGGACGTGACCAGTTCCAGATGGATACATCTGTGTCACCTACGGCTGCTCCCCAGAGTGCTTTTCTGAGGGTCAGCAACTTCCTGTGCTCAGATCCCCTGTCCCTCTCTCTCTTGAGAAGTTTTAGTTCCCATCACCACCCATTAGCCTCTCCTGTTACTCCCAGGGAGGGACCCTCATTTTTTCTTAAGGGAGCCACCATGTGCTTTCTTTTAAAATATCTCTCCTTTCATGATTGATCAGGGGGTTCAGAGACAGACGAGAAATAAAGACGTCTACACACATAAACGGGTCAGAGTCAGGCCATTCTAGAACACGTTTATTGGCTATGTTTATTGGTTGTAAGTGTGCTAGGCACTCTCCAGGTCACAGGGATTTCAGCTGTACATGTGTAAGCACACAACCAGTAAGCACACTTTGGGATGCACAGGCAAGTGAGAACAGCTCTTCAGAAGTGCTGGAAAAGGAGACCCCTTGTTAACACCACAATGGGTTGGAAGTTCTGGACTCCATCTCCAGGTCCGGCCTCAGGAATCCTTCCTTTTGACCTGAAGACGAGAAGGGTTTTAGATTTACCAAGGGTCATGCATTATGGGGCTTCAGAGGAAGTAAAAAAGCCATTCAGAGAAAGGATAGGGCTCCTCAAACATCCCTGGGGTTTTGGGGTAACCACAGCTTGTCTTCTGTAAGGCTCATTCACTGCAGTTCTCCGAAATTTCTGCTTGTGTTTTATGGAATGAGAGCAAAACTCTCTCTATTGCTCACCTCTGGTTCTGCTGAGCCCCTAAGCCCCTGGATATTAGTTTCCTGTCTGCCATTTATCACCTTCCCTGTATGGTCTGTTTGCCCATTCCTTACCACAGCCATCAGCACCAGGGTACTGACGAGCACCGCATACAGGGTGGCTTTCCCCAGCAGGATCTCATAAAGGATGGTGGCAGACAGGACCCCTTGTTGGTAGGAGGCTGTTGAGAGTAAAGGAAATCAGTAAGTGCCTGGACAGACAGCTAGCTCTGCAGTCAAGGTTTTGAGAGGCGAAGAAGGAGTCAACTCACCTGAGGTAATACCACAATCTGAAAGAAAGGAGACAGGAAAGTGGATGAGATGTCTTTTCACTAAGGAGACTGAAAATTAAGTCAGCCCTGAGGCTAGCATGGTGTATCGGATCCAGATCAGCCTCCCTGGGTGGCCCCAGAATGTGCCCTCTTGGGTTGTGTCAATGCAAACCCATTTTTCTTGAAACCCATGACTTAGGCTCCAAAGATAATGATTCAGAGGCTGAGCTGCAGAGGGCCATGGGCTGTGAAGCTGCCGGGCTGAGGATCTCATGTTAGGGTTAGATGTATTGTCTAGCTTATCCTCTGCCACTGGTTTTCTCTGCATTTAGACCTCCTGGCTTCTGCCTGCGTCTTTCTAGTTTTCTTGGGCACTAGCGATGCTCCTTCTTATCAGCTGCTCCCCAGCCCCACGTACCTGCGCTGCCCCTGGCCTCTGCACTGACGTTCTGGGTGACGGGTTTGGTCGAGGGCCCCTTCCACTCGTCCTCATCTGCCAGCCCGAAGAACTGGACTTGGCAGCGGAAGTGGTTGCGAGGATTGTGCCAGAAGGTCGCGGGAGACCCTCAGGCGGCTGCTCAGGCAGTAGGTGATGTTATTGAGCTCCTTGTAGGGCTGAGGGTCCGTGCTGACTCCGCTGAGGACCTCCTTCCCATTCACCCACCAACTCAGTTCCACGTGGTCGGGGAAGAAGCCCCTGGCCAGGCACACGAGGGTAGCCATTTGTTTGTCGACGATCTCTGCTTCTGATGGCTCAAACAAGGTGACCTTAGGTGGGCTCACCTTGCTCAGATCCTCTGGAAGTGAAGAGAAGAGGCCTGCTCTGAGAGCTGTCTGGACCTGGTTTGGTCTGCGTTATTAGTCATTATATGGTCATTTTAGTGTACAACGACGTAGTATTAGTTTCTGCTTCCTTTTTGTCTAACTATTGTGGGTGTCTCTCGATGCCCCCCCTCTTTTTTATGGGTTTATCTAAGTATATGCTCTGTGTACTCTCTCACACATTTTCCTGAGGTGGAATTGTACCCTGAATTTCTGTACTTTCTTGTAATGCCTCACACACTCTTTGTTTACCTGTTGAAAATAATATACCCAGTTTTTTTTTTTTATTTCTTTCAAAACCATAATCCATGCATGACTACGCGATCTTTCAGATTTGAAATAGTGGAGTTGGGAAAGCCTGAATTTTGAGGCAAAAGTGTCATATGAACCTAACGATCGTAAGAATTAAGGTGACTTTTTATGACTATTTTCCTTTATGGGCTGAGGTAAATGCATTAATGTGTTTGGGTGATTCTGTATGCTATCAACATTGGTTGCCTAAGAAAGACATTTCTCCCCTAATATCCAGAAAAGTCTCTAAGTTTCTGAATATCCTGCTCAACTCTTCCCACCCTGTCTGTCTTTGCTTTAAGGTCCCAGCTTGTCTCTGGCTGAGAGCCTGGCTCATGTCCCACACTCACTCCTACACTGAGGTGTAAGAGGGCTGTGGCGGCTTGCTCAGGAAAACTGCAATCCTGTGGAAGATATTATTCACAGGTTGAACTCTTCTATTTTTCCAATGCTCAGCAAGGCTCCTTGACGAGTTTCAGAATTCTTGTTCCCAGCCTAGAATGTATTCTTTAATATGGTGAAAGATTAATTGCTCCCACAACGTAACCTAAACTTAAAGCACAAAGGTGATTTCAAGAGCAGGTCTCCACTGGAAGGGCCTGCGTCCACTCACACGCCTTCAAGATGGGACAGAGAAAACCTTCTAGGATTATTGAAAGGAACGCCTCCCCCTGAAGACAGGAGAGATGCAAAGAATTCCCATATAACCTCCAAGCACCCTCCCTTTACGTGGAGGTTAATGCCCTCCCTCCCTGGCTCTCTTCTGACATAAAGCAAGGTCCTGATGCAGAAATACAATGATGTGATACGTCTTTTCTCTGTCTGAAGTTGAGGACTTGTGGGGGAAATTGAGAGTTGGGTTTGGAAGGACGATCAGTCAGAGAAATAAAGGAAGTCACACAGGGGACCGTTGGATTCTTTGAAACAGTTTGGTCCAGAGAAAGGGATAGGGGATGGAGTTCGCAAAAGTAAAAACCAAGCAAAGCCAATAATTTTTAGGTTAGTCCTTGAAGTTAGAGTCAATTTTAAACAGTGTTTACTATTTTGTATGTCTTAGAAAGCCTGAGGCAGCTTAGCAGTACATTTTCCTTTTTTTAAGGACCTTCACCCCAGACAGTACCCCCAACTTTATTCCTCTGAGTCCCGGGCATTTGAATCCAGCACTCAGTAGTTTCCTTTAACAACCATGGCACACATCCTATCTACAAGAAAACATCTGTGCAAGCTCCCAGGCCTGGGAGGTTCGAGGTGGCCCATTCTTCTACCATTTTCTATCTGTCAGACCTCATGGATTCACCCACCCCACCTCACCCATACCCCAGCCTGTCTGCTTGCTCCCCAGCATCATGTTGGTTATGTTGGGCTTGCATGATAGACACATTAGCCAATAATCCCAAGACAGACCTGGAGTCCGAGGACCACTTGTGTATCTTCTCTTCTTTATACACAGCCTGTTGCTAATATATCATGTCTTTCTAGTTGTAAGCTTATTCATATCTTTGCCTGAGACACCCACCAGGTACAGCATCCTCCAAACTCCCCAGCAGGCAGCTACAACTCCTGTAATGCTACAACAAAGAATTGTGCCTGCTGTTCAGGATCAGCCCTCGAAGTCACCCTGACACTGCCAGCCTGGTCCCCTCTGCCGTCAGACTCTCTAAGCCACACCGGGAAGACAAACACAAGTCTACAGAGACACTGGAGGTCAGTGTCAACATTTTAAATCAGAAGACAGAGCCGCGTACCAAAACAAGTCAACAGTGCAGACGGGGGATGAGGATGGAAGAGAATGGAGAAATAGTACCAGAGAGGAAACCCAGCAAATTCTTCCATTCAGAAAGTACAGGTGATCAGAGTTCAAAGAATAATAGAAACGAAAGAGACGACTTGAAACCCCGAAGCAAGGCCTTCTGTGACTAGAAGGAGAAGACAAACCCAGGGATCAGCCATCTACCAGGCTCTGGGGGAAGCAGGCGAGGGCACAGGGTTCCAGAAGGGAACGGGTGTCTCTGCCTTCTAATCTTACACCTAAGTTCCTTTTCCAGACCATTGTGACCCAGCACAGACACCCCTCCAGTCACGAACAGAGCCCCCGTACCTGTCACAGGGAGCCGGGTGCCTGCTGCAAAGTAGAGGGGAGAATTATAGAAGCACAGCTGCAGGTTGCCTTGGTAAAACCCAGCAAGCAGCCTTCCCAAGTCAGAGGACCAGTTTCAGTTCCCCGAGCAGCTGGATGACTGCCGCTCTCTGCCTGCACAGAGGATTCTAGACTACAGCAATGCCATGAGGCATGTGATAGGAGGCGGGCAGGAGGAAGGGACTCAGAAGGAGCATCTCCATGCTAACAAAAAGGTAAAACAACCCTGGAAGTTGGGGGGGGGGGTGACCACTCATAGACTTCGGGGCAAAGAAACAGCTGCTGGTTCATCTTGCCATAGAGGAGACAGAGGTGCTCTTTAGACCCCAGCAAGTAAAGGAGTCACTAAATCCCTGGGCCCCTTCCAGCGGTGCTGGGGGTCGCGGACGCTCTGGCTCCAAGAACAGTACCCCACCTTCTCAGTTCTGTAGCTTACCTAGAACAGAGAGTCGGGTCCCCTTTCCAAAGTGCTGAGCCTGATTGGTACACAGTATAACAGGAGAGTGACAAATGCCCGAGGACCCGCAGGGAGCTTACTTTGACTCCCCGTGTTCTCCAGGGACTCCGGTACATTCTCCATCCGTTCATCCTCTGTGAGCCACAGCCTAGGCTGAGTTTGCAGTCCCTGCCTTCTCCAAGGGGCTTCCCTGCACCCCTGGGCTTACTATACACCCTCCCCGGAAAGAGACCTTTTACATACCCAGGACAGACAGCTTGGTTCCATGACCGAAAAACAATCTTTCGTTGGAGACACAACACTGAAGCCTGGTGGTAAAACTGTCTCCTGGTTTCTGTCCCTCTGCCCCGTGCCCACCTGCCAGCTAGCTTCCCCCATTCCCGAGGACGGTTTTATCTCTGGGCAGTGGGAGGACAGACAAGTATGAGTTAATAGCTAGTATAATTGGTAATCAGTTTTTCTGGTGGGCCCATGCCTCTTCCTCTCCGATATCTGTCTTCTGTCTGCGGGAGAGCACCAAACAGCAGGATTATGAGCAGCATATGAGGCTGACTCCCAGGTGAGCTTGCCTGCACTTAGCATAGCCTGTCTGTGAAATATTGTAGATGGACATTCTTCCATTCTTGTAAGCATGAGCACGGGAGCTCAGAGCTTCCTGACAGAATTGCACTGCCTTGTAGGGACCCCAGAGAGGCTGCCTCGGTTCACAACCGTTTGGCCCTAACTTACCTACAACAGTGAGCCGGCTTCCTTCTCCAAAATAGACTGTGTTTCCAGAACACAGCCTCCCAAGTCCACCTCAAAACCCCTCACTGTCTGTGAGCCTCTCTCCTTTCTCTCTCTTGTCCTTCACCCCAGGCTCATCTTGATTCAGCCAGGAGCCTTTAGACCATCTTCGCGGATTCAGCCTCCCTAGAGTGTAGTCCCAGACACAAGCCCACTTCTCCCTCAAGCAAGACCCATGAGCTAGATCCTTCTTCTCGTTCCCAGGACAGAATCACACTTGTCATCCCACACCCAAAGACAATTAGGCCTTACCTATTACCAACAGCCTGGTCCCCGGGCCGAAGGTGTAGTCGTAGTTTGCACATCAGAGCAGAGGAACTCGAAAATGGACACACAGGACATGCTTTGCCCCAAGAGAGACCTGGAAATTTACCTGAAAGATTTCTTACCTACAACTGTGAGCCTGGTTCCTTTACCAAAGAAAAGTTTTGAGTTTGCACAGCGCCATGGGGCAAGGAGAAAAACAAGCTTAAAATGTAAACACAGAATGGTCCCGGCTAGTTTCTAGAGGACCCTAGAAGAAGCCACACCCTTGTGTGCATCACAGATATTGCATTTTAAGTTAGGCTTGTGAGAGCGTAGAACATGGCAGATTCCATCCCTTTCGTGAAGATCTATCTATCTATCTATCTATCTATCTATCTATCTATCTATCTATCTCTCTATCTATCTATCTGAGAGTCCATCAAAGTGAGGACCAGGCCAGAGCTGAGATCTCCGTGGCTTCCTTTGAGCGGCCTGCAGAACTCTTCACCCCTGGCCCACCTTCTTATGGATGGTGGTTTTGTTTTCATGAGGCTTGGTTGAAGGGGTCTCCCCGCAGCCTCGGCCCCTGGGGCCGCTAAGCCATTCTTGTTATGCTTGTGCCCTCTCTGCATAGGAGGCTTCCATTGATGAGACCCTATCCGTCTCCATGGTCTTGGCCTGGCAGGCAACAGGGGCGGAGTAGAAACATTCTGGATCTAAACACATCAAGGCTGGGACCGGGGGGGTGGGGGGGAGAGAGGACTGTGGGCCTTGGTACAGGCAGGAAGGTTTTTGTAAAGGTTTCCCATAGAACTGAATCACCGTGCCCCCTGTCCCCACAATGTTATAGCTTTATACAAAAAACGACCCACCCATAGGTCCACCCCTTAAGGGCTGGAAGAAACCACCAGAGCAGCCGCTCCTTTGAGGGGAGCTGAAGTTAGGGAAGGTGACACCACCTGCATTGTGCAAGGTGGTGATAAGAGTTTCCTCCTTGTCCCCGTCTTCTTTTGAACCTCCTTTGTTCTTGGAGCTGGGAGACATAGCTGTTTGCTGAAGGGGCTGGATGCCCTCTCGTAGGCTGTCGTCATAAAAGGGAACCACCCACCCTACGGAAGTAACAGCCCCCAGTCTTGCCTGGCTCTGCCTTTGCCCTGAGGTTGTGCCTCCCTCAGAGTTTACACCCTCCTCCCAAGAACACGACTCTGTAGTATGCAGACTTGGTCTTTTTGTGCCAGACTTGAGTCTTCCCAAGGGGTTACCTAGGCTCTGCACTTCTTAGAATGATGCTGAAGGCACACTGTATTTCCAGAAGTGGGTATGAAACGAGGCGGCCACAAACATTATCATGCTATCACTCATGCGCTTGGGCCAAGGGGAATGGGGACCTGCCTCCATGGAGGTTGCACAGAGACACAGTTTGGAAATCATTCTAATATAATCACAGGGCCACGTGACCACAGCCGCATGGTAGTCTTCTCTGAAGACATGTCAAAGCGTTGGTAGATGTTTCAACTTTCCTGGTTTAAGGCGAGTCTGGCAAGGAGTGGAGGAACACACAGCCTAGTATTGTGAGATAGAAGCAGGCAGAACTGTGGGTTTGAGTCCAGCCTGGTCTATATACAGAGTTCCAGGCCAGCTAGGGCTGTACTTTGAGGCAAACTGACTCTGAACCCCAACCTACACTTGCATGTCCTGGGTATCTGTGTCCCCCACCCCAAAACCAGTGACTGTCAAGTGGTGACTGAACGCCAAGATGAAGAAAAGATAGACCTGACTGGGTAATTTTGTCACCCTTTGTATGAGAAATAGAAAGAAAGAATCAAAAGCTAACTGAAAACTTGGGGAAACAATTCTTGCCATCAGGGTTAGTAATCGATGAGAAAACAATTCAACAGCTCAATTAAAAAACAAAGGCAGATGTTTTAGAGAAAAAAAATCTAAAAGGTGCTTAGGTGCAGGGAAAACTTCTTACCATGATAATGGGGTGTGTGTGGGAGGGGGGAGACTACTATTTTTCATCCAGAAGTCTCATCTTGGGAAATTTGCCTTGTAGGTACAGTTGTATACAGATGAAACTTCCAGCACTTGGGAGGCTGAGGCAGAAAGATTGCTGTGGATTTAAGGCCAGCCTGGATTTAAGGAAGACCTGTCTGAATCAGTCCACAAAGCGTAAAAACAAAAACAGGTTAAAATGAGTGTGGAACAATGGTGCCATGCCAGTGTGACCTCTCTCTCACTCATAGTTAGCCGGGAAAGAACGAGCTACAGAATTGCATGGCATGTGCGACCTTCTGTTTAATAATTAGCTAAAGAGAATCAATCGCAATGGTGCTCAGAACAGGGTAAGGGCAACGGGGAGTTGTACATCAACAGCTGCAGATCTTACGACTCCACTGTAAGCCCGAGCGAAAAAGCCAACCGCTTTTTATCATTTATTCTTTTTTTGATCTTCATTTTATTTTGACCTAGTTTTTCACCTGTTGGTTTCTCCCCCATTTCCCAGCAATGATTTACTCATTAAGCCAGAGTTTCCTTTTAATGAAGTATCTCCGTAGCTTATATCATCTGGCCTTGCAGATAATAGTACTATGTGTCTTTGTGTCACAGTTTTTGATGGTGTTTGTTTTCCACTTTGCTAATCTGGGCATTGAGACCAAATGTAAAGGCGGCAACATTAGGGGTAAAAAATGTATCTATCTATCTGTCTGTCTGTCTGTCTGTCTGTCTGTCTGTCTATCTATCTATCTATCCGTTTATTATCTCATTCAATAATTCACTCGTCAATTTACTCTTTTTTGTTTGTTTGTTTTGGCTTGTGCAAACAGCATAGCTAAATTGAGCAGAAATCAGGCTGTGGTCATTCATACATATGGACAGCAGGGGGCAGCCTTTCCTTATTTCATTTCTTTGTTCTTGTTTTTCTTTTTCTTTCTTGGGGTGGGGGTGGGGGTGGTGGTGAGGGCAGAGTGTCACCTTGTAGCTCTGACTGTCCTGGACTCACTGTGTAGAACACGCCATACTCCAACTCACAGGAATAAGCCTGTCTCTGCCTCCCTAGTGCTGGGATTGAAGGCGTGTAGCCCTAAACTGGCTGTTTACTTTATTCTTTTGTCCTGAGAAATTACCATTTGGGCTTAGACCTCAGATGGGGTAAGAGGAATGTGCAAAACACTGGCAGGGGGCAGGAGAGGATTCTCTTTAATTAAATGTTTTTTTTTTTTTTTTTTTGGTGTGGTAAAGGGGCCAGAGGGGGAGCCACACAAATAGCATTTTTATACAAGAACAGTTCTTGAGAATTTTAGAACGTTAATGTGTTTCTCCCAGCCCATCCTACCCCAGTGGGTTCTCAGGAGCTAAACCACAAAGAAGTTAAAATGAGTTGGCAAGTGGTAAAAAAAAAAAAAAAAAGGTCAAACTACTAAAGGCTCCTTATTTGAGTTTGGGACTGTGGCACCTAGGCGATGCTCCTGATCTTGGGGAAGCCCATCCCTGGTGCCCTCCTGAATGGACTCATAAGGACACCTTTTATGACTCGGGGACTCAGGAAACTTATGAATCAATTTAAGCCATAAATAACCTTGTAAGTAAGGGTAATGATAATAAAAATGTCTGTTTTAGGCAGCTGTGGAGACTAAGTGAGGTAATTCATGCAAACACAGCAGAGAGTGGTTTATTTTATTTCATTGGCAAGTCTTTTGTTTTGCAGACCCTTCTGGTATTTCAGCATGCATCCCAAGCTTGGCTAAATGCAAGTCTGTAAGCAATTCTTTTGCCTCGACCTTACTATTGCTGGGATTAGAGTGTGCACTAATACACTGGGCCTCTAGGAGCACTGTAGCACACTGGTTCTTAAGACTCGTCATGTTGAGAGTGGCCTGGAAGGTCCACTGAGCCCCACCCCAGTATTTCTTACTCAATAGATGCACAGTAGAGTCTAGTGTCTTTTTTGTTCTAAGTCCTCATGACTCTGGCGGTGCCCTTCAAGGGACAGAAGAGTTGTCTTCTTCTACCTTTGTCTCCAGCGCTCTTCAATGGTCTATGCTTTTAATCTCTGTGCACTTCCTACATGCGAGGTTCAGTTTAATCGCTGATGAAGACAAGATTTCTTTCTTTATATTTTAAATGTTTATTTACTTATTTATTATGTATACAGTGTCCACCTGCATGCATGTTTGCCAGAAGAAGACACTGGATCTCATTACGATGGTTGTGAGCCACCATGTGGTTGGTGGGAATTGAACTCAGAACCCCTGGAACCAAGTGGTTCAAAGTGAGGGCTGGAGAGAGACGACTCAGTGGTTAAGAGCACTGGCTGCTCTTCCTGAGGACCTGGGTTGAATTCCCAGCACGCACACCACAGTTCCCAGCTGTCTGTAACTCCAGTTTCAGAGAATCTGACGACTTCACACCAATGAACACAGGACATGAGGTTAATGAATTGTTTAAAAATATTCCATTTCTCTAAAGTGAGTTTCGTCTTTGTTTAAACCGATTATTGGTAGGTTTTATTCTTTCACAGTGTTTCATTCTGATTTAATTTTATACCCAGCCATTTTTCTGAAAAGAATGTATCAGCTGTAGGAGTTTCCTGATGGAATTTTTGGGTCACTTTGTACTTGATGATATCTTCTGCAAACAAGGATACTTTGACTTCTTCTTTCCCACTTTGTGTCCCCTTGATGCCCCTCAGTTGTCTCACTACCCTGGCTAACAGGTCAAGCACTATGTAGACTAGGTATGAAGATGGTGGAAAACCTTGTCATGTTCCTGATTTCAGTGGGATTGTTTTGAGTTCTCTCCATTTAAGTTGATGTTGCCCATGAGCTTGCTGCAAACTGCCTTTATTATGGTTAGGTGTGTTCCCTTCATCCCCAATATTTATAGGACTTTTATCATGAAGACACATTTGATTTTTGTCAAAGGCCTTTTCTTCATCTAATGAGATGACCACGTGGGTTTTTTGTTTGTTTACTGACTTTCATATATCGAAGCATCCCTGCATCTCTGGGATGACGACTACTTGATCATGGTGGATGATCTTTTTGATGTGTTATTAGATTCATTTTGCAAGTAATGGGAGATGTCATTCTGTAAATATGTTTCTCATGCTGGTTAATGAATAGGAGAATAGGAAAGCAAGATAGGCCGGACTAGGAGACGAGGATTCGAGGAAGTAGTAAGGAGGAGTTAGCATAGAGAGCCTGGGGAGACCAGACGCCGGCCCCACTCCCCAGTAAGGTGAAACCACTTGGAAATACTTAGATTAATAGAAATGGGTTAATCATTAAGACAGAGCTAGCAGATAAGAAACAAGTAACTGCCGACAGCATTATCTCAAATACAGCATGTCTGTGTGTTATTTGGGGCTGGTGCGGCTCTGGGCCCAGGTTGGCAGGAAAAAAAACCTTACTCCTTACATGCAAGCTTTTTTTTTTTTTGAGAATTTTCTTTTTAAATCTATGTTCACAAATGTAATTGTATGTAGTGCTGTTTCTTGTTGGTTTAGGTATCAGGGTGACTATGGCCTCATAAAAATGAATTGATGGACTGAGCAATCTTTCTACTTCTATTTTGTGGAATCATTTGTGGAATATTGGCATCAACTCTTTGAAAGTCTAGTAGAATTCTATGCTAAAGCCATTTAGCCGTGGACTCTTTTGTTTGGGCTCGCATCTGTGGTCTCTTAGTCTGCAGAACGTCTTTCCAGGATCTTACGGCTTTTAGAGTCTCCACTGAGAAGTCATGCCACTGTAAGAGATGTGCCTTTCTGTTTCTCCCTTGCAGTTCGTGATTCTCTTTCCTTGTTCTGTGTACCCCGTGTTTGAGGGGACTCTGTTTTCTGGTTCAGTTTATCTGGTACTCTGTATGCTACTTATATCTTGACAGGCGTCGCCTTATTTAGATAAAGGAAAATTCCTTCTGGGTTTGGTCCTTTCATATTGTCCCAGATAGCCTGGGTGTTTTGCATCATGCTTTTTAGAAAAGATTTGGCATTTTGTTTCACCGTTTCTTCTATTGGGTCTTCTCTGTTCCACCACTTACATTCTGTTAGCAAATCTTGCCTCTGAGGATCCTACTGAGTTTCTAAATTTTCACTTCTAGATTTCCCTCATTTTGGCTTTCTTTATTGATTCCATCTCTTCATTCAAGACTTGAACTGTTTTATTTATTTTCTTCCACTACATTTTCATAGATTTCTTTAAGGGGTTTCATTTCTTTTTAAAGAACTTCTTTCATATTTATAAGGGGCATTTTAATGTTTCTCTTGTGCTTTAGCTGTGTTGAATTACTCTGCACCTTCTGTGGTAGGGTTGCTGAATTCTAGTGAAGACATATTGTTCTGGATGTTATTCATTGTGTTTTTATGCTAGTATCTAGGCATCTGAGTTTGGAAAATTGTAGATCCAGATACTGCTATTTAGTCTTGTTTTTGTTGGGTGGGTATTTAACTTTCTGACTTCTGTTCTGGATGTTATTGATTGTGTTTTTATGCTGGTATGTAGGCATCTGTGCTTGGAAAATTGTAGATCCAGATACTGATATCCAGTCTTGTTTTTGTTGGGTGGGTATTTAACTTTCTGATTTCTGTTGCCCTGTCTGGTCCTTAGGAGAGTGTGCGGTTGTTTGCTGCCTGGTAGGAAATTCCTCTGGGATCCTGATAGGGATGGCCACTGGGTTTCCGGGTAAAATGTTTTCCCAAGTATTGGAAACCGATACTTCGGAATGAGGATGGGCTGTGGGGGAACTGAAAGAGCCCACAGGAGGGAGGGAATCGGAAAATTCATTAGAATCTGCTTAGTCCCCTGGGAATGTGGGCAGGGAGTAAGGAGAGGTCACAGCAGCTGTCTGTTACACAGTTGGGTATGAAACTGGGTGACTGGCTTTGGAGGAGAGTGGAGATCTGAAGTTCACCTACCTGCGTCTCTGGCAGTCATTGCTTGTGGCCTCCCAGAGAAGCCTCTGGAGTCAGGGTCTGGGATGACAGTGGGGAGGAAATTTGGAGGGCAGAGAGTAGGGGGAGGCTACGGCACGTCATCTGCTACAGAGACCGAGGCAAGACTACCTGCTTCCTTGGCCATGGTGGCCTGTGGTTTCCCAGGGAATGCCAGCTGGATATAGGAACTAAGATAAAGAGATGAGTGGAGGGAAGGAAGGTTGGAGGAGAAGATCTTTGTGTCTCACTAGACATAGGTCAGGGAGGGAGATAAGTTTGCTGCAGGTGTCCCTGTTACAGTATCCGGATGAGACTGGTTGGGGTTGCTTTGGAGCAGTGCTGTCTGTGGCTATGAGAAGGGAACTAGGAGGGCAAAGTCTGACAGAGGGGGCAGAGATGCTGAAGTCGTTGGTCTGATGCAGAGGTGGGCACGAGGCTGGAGGATTGGATTTGGAGAAGAGGAGAGAGAGGTCAAAATCTAGGTAGCTTACTCACTTCCCTGGCCAGGGTGAAATCATGATTTTTTCATATTGAGTTTTGTTTCACTTAACTTTTCTTCAGAGATTCTCATTCTTCATTCAGCTCTGGTTTTATAGGTTGAATTCTTCTTGCTATATTTTATTCCTCTGTTCGTCTTTTCACGATCTTCCTTGTAGCACTTGCTCACTTTCTATTTGAACTCCCTGACCGTGTTTGTTATTTCTATTTTGAAATCATTGTATTGCACATTGTCACTTTTCTTGGGAAACTTCACTATAATAGCGTTAATTTTTGGCTGAGTGTATTGTCTTGTTTATTCATGGTTCTACTTTTGCGATGGGACCTATGCATCTGGAGCTAGGTCCTAACAGTATTTCTTGGTATGGAGACCTTGCATCCCTTTTGTTGGGTGGGAATTTGAATCTCCATTTCCCGTTACTCTGACTGATCGGGTTACAGAATAACTGTATGAGGCTTAGGGTTCCGTGCTGAGGCAACTCAATGTTGATGTTCAAATGAGGTGTCAGAAACAGTTGCAGCTCAGCTTAAGCTAAGTGAAGTTTCTAAGCCCATGAACCACCTTCTTCAGGACATAGAAGAGTCTGACAGTCAGTCTTTAGGGGCCTGGGGAAGGTGTGCATTATTTGTCCTTAAGCAATGGGAGTCTGTGGAGTTGGCAATACAAGTCTAAAATCCCTACCTTAAAGGTGAGGGACAGAGGAAAGGGAGTTGAGACAGGTATGGAGCATGTTGTCCTGAGCCAGGTCACAGGAATGGATGGAGTTGACAGTGTAAATCTGGGGCACCTACCTGGAGAGGGTGGTCTTTGGGTCACAAGAATGGGTAGAGTTGCAAGGATATCTATATAAAGGTAAGACCAAGGACTTACAGCATGTATAGACAGATTGGAATGGATGGGTGGAGCTGGTGGTGGTAGGAGCCAAGTATTTCTACCTAGAGATAGGGTTAACGACGCTTGTCCTCAGTGATGGATGGAGTTGACAGTGTGATTCTGGTGTGCCTACATAGAAAAGGGTCCCTGATGGGAGATGTCATTTTGTAAATATGTTTCTTTTATTGGTGAATGAATAAAGCACCGTTGGCCAATAGGAAAGCAAGATAGGTAGTATCAGGAGACAAGGAGGATTCTGGGAGATGTAGGAGGAGAGTCAAGATGTAGGGACTTGAGAAGAAGTCCCTACCCTCTCTCCGGTAAGATGAGACCACGTGAAAACACTTAGATTAATAGAAATGGGTTGATATTTAAGACAGAGCTAGCCAATAAGTAATGCTAGTAACAGGCCAATAGCTTTATATCTAATACAGTGTCTTTGTGTGTTATTTGGTGCTCATGCAGCTATGGGACCAGGCTGGTGGGAAAACTGCATGTAACAGGTCCCAGATGACAAGAAGGCTGTGTGAGTGTGTGTGTGTGTGTGTGTGTGTGTGTGTGTGTGTGTGTGTCGTGGTAGTGTAAAGGGATTGCTAATACTAAAGGCATTTTGAAATGTCACATGGATGCTTACTAATGTAGAAACTTCTTAAATTATTTATACATATACATAAAAAGAGTTAATAATGGAGTTACCTTTTAAAAGGATAAAATTCCCCCTACTAAAAAACCACAAAGTAGCAAATACAAAGCCCAGTGTTAGGAAGGCATTATACCTTTTGGAATTGTTGCTCACTAAGATCCCATGTACCCACAATTACTCTTGGTAACCTTCCAGAACTTGATGATACAGCTCGATTACTCAGGACACCACATAAATGAGTCATAGAATATGGAGAAAGCAAGCAGGTACTGACTTGGAAACTTTGTTTCTATAGGCTAGATATCATAGTGCTGGCTGGTACTATTCACACTATCAGAGAAGGAAAGTAATCACTAGCCTTACCCAGATGTGAATGCTGTGACATACGGTAATGACAGGCCTGGGAAGACGTGCCCATTAGTGCAACAGTAGTACAAACAGATTTAAGGCCACTCCACGTATTGAAGTTCATAACTGGCATCTGTGTTAGGACCCAGAATCTGTGGCCAGAAAGGTCACAGAGTCACTGGGCAGAACACACTACTATTACTTTGCTAAAAGAGCATACTATTTAAACTAACTCTTAATTACTTACTATTATACTTACAGATTAGTGAATATTTCAACCCTCAAAAACTTGCTTTTGCAGTAGATGGTTATAAAAAGGGGCCCACAACTTCTCAAGGTGCCAAAAATGAGAGACTTCTGAGCGTTCAATCCTAAATAGTATATCTATATCAGTCTACTTCCTCCCCAGGGTCAGGGACGGTTACAGAAGAGGGTGTGAAAAGGTTATAAGAGCCAGAGGTTGTAGATGACGATAAAGAAAATAATGTCTTCTGGATACAACAGGGTAACATCATATATGAACTCATAGTGGTTATGACAATATGCAAAAAAGCCATAAAAACTTAAGCCAGCCATACCAAATCCCAGCAGGGATCTGGTAGATAGGCATGAAGATTCACCTCTAGTTGAGCAGTTATTGACAACTGATGGCTGTTGGGAGGGGTGGAGTCAGTTTTCTTCTGAGAGTGTAGCCTATTCTCCGGCCGTGTTTCACACATCCAAAAATAAACATGTGGCACAAATCCGTTCTGATGGGTAAAAAAACGAAGAGAAAAGAAAAGGAAAGGACACATGCTGGATAGGTAGGGAAGAAGGGTGTGTCTGGGGGGAATTGGGAGCATAAATATGATCAAAATGTAATAATTATGAAATTCTTAAAGAACTATTTTTTTTTTAAATGAGAGAATGAGCTTGAAAGCAAGCCAATAAACAACATTTCTCCACGGTTTATGCTTTCAGCTCTCTAAGTGATGCCCTATACCTGGAAGTGTAAGTCACTAAGCTACTTTTGGTCAGAGAGTTTTTATTGCAGCCATAGAAAGAAAGCAAGAAGAAAGAGAAAAGTGAGCCCCGTGTCCCCCGAGGAGAAGAAGCTTAGGTGCTGTCCTGAATACTGTGGGAAACCAGGGAAGTATTAAAGTGGAAAGAATCTAACAAGGGCTCAAGGGCTTTCTCTAAGTACGCAGTCTTCACGGAAGGCAGTGACTGGGGAATAATTTCAAGGCATGAGTGGAAGTGGGTGTGGATGGTTTCTTCTTCTTTTCTTTCTTTCTTTTGCTGAAAGTAGGCTGGAAACATGTGAAAGATGAAATAGGATGGACTCTTCCTCCGAGACCACACAGTAGAAAGAGAAGGGAGGCCACTAGTGGGCATGCTAAACAATTCTGACAATAAACAGATCTACCACCTGCTGGGTGTGGGGTGGGTATACAAACTTCTCTGAATCTTCGCCTTCTACCTGTGGCATCAGAATAACAATTACGGGAGGCAACATGAAATACACGTGAACACGTCCGTGGAAATTCTCAAGGTACTACATGTATGTTAGTATTATTGTGTGAGATAAACAGAAGGCAAATCACTCAGGCATGTGAGGTATTTCTTATTTCTTCTATAGAAACATGAGTGGAAGTTGGAGATGACCGGTGAGACCTTATCTAAGTAGAACAACACCTACCGTTAGGATGGAGTAGAATGGCATTGGCATGGATAATTGTATGTAGCGAGCTAGCTTTGCTGGTACAACCTATGACCTAAGCATTCTGCAGCCCGAAGCAAGAACGTCACAAGTTCAAGGCTTGCTTGGATTACAGAGCAAGACTTTGCATCAAAACCCCCAAAATGACTATGAGGGAGGGAACTCAGAAGCCAAGGTGGTCAATCATTGCAAGATTTACATTGGGTATGCAGTGTTTCTGCTGTAATCAAAGAAATCAGCAGGCTTGTCAACCACAACAATGTGTGCATTCGCTACAACTTGAAGCCCCACTGATGTACTAAGGAAGAAAAATCTTTAGCCCCTCTATTCAGATGTAACTTTTCTTGAAAAAGTAAGATGAAATGATCTCCCTACTATGATTCCACTGAATTTATTTTTGTGCTTCATATGTTGCCGGTGATTATTTCACGAAACTTATTTTACAACCAGGATAACTTTCAGTGGAGAATCTCTGCCTGACCTCAAAGGCCTCAGATAAGAGCGCGCCTCCCAGACTTAAGGGACTAGAGAGACCAGACAGACAGCAGGCACTGAGGGCAAGTGTACTTTATTGACACAGAGGAGGGATTGGGGATCTT